TCAGCTAGGTGTGTTGTTATTTTTCTTATCTTCCTATTTTCCATTGTCTGTTTCTTTGTCTTGTAAAATTGCCATTTGGAAGACAAACTGATCATTCCCTCTTTTCATGTTTGTGCTTCATCCCTCCTTGGTAGATGACTTGCAGGCAAGAGCAATTTACAATAAAGGAACTAAATATCAGTTTTCATGCTTCAGCAGTTTCTATTCCACATTCTAAAGCAAACTATATCAAGATGAATCACAGAATTATAAATTCACAGAACATGCTGAGTTAGAAGGGAACCATCAGGATCACCAAGTCCAACCCCTGGCCCTGTGCAGACACCCCAAGAGTCACCATGTGCCTGAGAGCCTTGTCCAAATGCTTTTTGGACTCTGTCAGGTTTGGTGCTGTAACAGCTTCCCTTGGGAGCCTGTGCCCAACTACCCTTTGGGGGAAGAACATTTTTTAATATCCAGCCTTCCAACCTAAACCTACCCTGGCTCATCTCCCTGCCATTTTCTTGAGTCCTGTGCCTGGTCAGGAGAGTGAAGAGATCGGGGTTTGCCCCTCCCTTCTGCTTGTGAGGATGTTCAAGGCTGCAGTGAGGTCACCCCCAGTGTTCTCCAGGCTGAACAGACCAAATGCCCTCAGCTGCTCCTCATACAGCTTCCCCTCAAGGTCCTTCACCATCCTTGTGAGCCTCATTTGGACACTCTATAATGACTTAATGTCTTTTTTAAATTATGGTTGCCAAAACTGCCCCAGGTCCTCAAGGAAACAGCCTTGAGGGGGACATGGCCTTATGTTATGAGACTGGGACTTGAACAATTCTGTGACATTGTGTGGACTGTCCCTACTGAAGTGGGCCTCATAATTATAATTTTGTTTGTTTGTTTGTTTGTTTTTGTTCCTGAATCCTGAGGCCTAGGATAATAACCCAAAAAATGCCATCCCAACCAACATTCTTCTGTGTTTGGGAAATAATCATTAATACTGTTAAAACTTTGCTGAAGACATACTGTCATAATTTAGTTGGTCTTTCCCATCATTAGTTCATGCTTTTCTCTGTTGTCCTCAGTGGCTGATTTGGGACTGGAATAAATGGAACCAGCTTTTAGCATTCTGTTTTCTCACCAGTGAATGCCATTGATCCAAATTTGTCACCAGCACAAGGCAAAAAAAGCTATTTTGCTATTCTTTTGTGCAATTCTCAGTGTTTGATGAAGTTATGTATTTGTACTTCAGTCCTTGCTGCCATATTTTGTTTATTGCCATATTTTAAAAACTTCAGACTTAAGAAAGAAAATCTACATTCTGTTATTTCTCCCTTTCAGGAGAATTCCATTCCATTTCAGTTCAATGATGACACAAAGGTAGAGATAATTTGAATAATTAAACTGACCGGAACAAAGATTTATTTGCTAATAGCTTGTTAACTTTATTTCAGGTTTATCAGTAATTGTCATTCATATCCTCTAATACTTCTTCCTGCGAACTTTGCTCCAGCATCTGTTTTGGCTTAGCTTCTCTAATAGGAACAGTTGGGGTTTTGTTTCTTTATTCTTTTTAAATTTGAAACCTTTCAAGTTTGGTCATTGGAGATGGCCAGTCTTCTTCCTTTTTAGGATTTTGTGTATATACTGCATAATAGCAACTAAGGGAGGAGGTATACTGTCTACAACTCTTTGGCCTTTTATTGCCACTCCAAATCCCACAAATTCTCTGCTTCTGTGAGTCAGTCTGACACTGGTCTCAGCAGCAAGACTCCACTTGTCACTACTGCTCATCTTCTATTTCAAGCCAGGGTAAATTTATGTGGAAAATGTTTTTATGCCATCCATGGAATAACACATACAACCTGTGAGCACTCTGCTGTTGTTTATATTAATAAAAAACTCTGTACTTCTCTAGCTGCCCACTGTCCTGCCATAAAATGTTTTACTGAGTACCATCAAAGCATCAAAGTACAGCTAATGATGACTGGCAATTTACTCCCAAGCTTTCTGTATGATACAAAATAAATAATCTCCCCATTTTGAAACTTCATACTTTTAACTTCTATTTCTTATCTTTGGATTATTCCACTGTAGATAATGATCTGTCAGCAAAGTTCTGCTGTGACAACAATTGCAGTTTGGCAAGTATATTACTTCTGCACTTAGACATTTAAAACCACTGTAGTTGCCATTTTGTCTTCCTTTCTAACATTGTTTCAGAAATTGTGTATACAGTGATATTTTGGTTATCTTTAGAAATCTGTTGTGCTTATTCATAGGAGATTAATTCAGCTTCTGAGTAGGATTTGCAGTTACCTTTGTAATGCATCATTCTTTGCAGATAAATCAATCTGGGAAGCAATGGGAAAAATATCCTGATCTTTTAAGGATCCTTTGACAAAAGTGTAAGCATAGTGTCCTATTCCTTGAAAAAAGTGTAAGCATACTGTCCTATTCGTTTTGGTGGCAATGGTAATTTGCTTTGCCAGTTATGAAGGTTTTTGATGTTTCTGTTACATTTAATATTAACTTTGTAGGTTGCATCATTTGCTTCATTAATTTGGTGACATCATTTTCCCTCACTATCATATTTGCTCTTTGTACACTGATTCTATTCTTCCATTTTTTGTCTCCTTAGTAATTTTTCACATGCCTGAGTTATGTTTTCCAGAAGTCTTATTTTGTAGGTTTTCAAAATTTTCTGTTTAATATTTGTCTAATGGCATGGTAATCCTACATTACCTTTTTTCTTGCTAATATCATGGCAGTTTAAATTTTTAAAATTTTTCTTCCTGGGGCATATGGTGTAATTATGATGTCTGCTATCAAAAATGGCAACTGTATTTCACACACTTCATGTAACTAGGTATCTTTTGACTGTCAGATCCATCTTCTCCAGTCTAAGTGGGTTCCTTATTTACCACCTTTCGGTTGGGTTGCCCATTTTACATTTTGCTGAGCACATTTATGACAGTCCCTGCTAGAATGATTATATCATTTTTGTAATATAAATAAGCATTTTATAAAACCGTCATGTGTAAAGAAGTTAATTATTGTATTTTATGGGATCTTTGTATTATTCAGAGCTTATGCATTAGGTTAATAAGAAATCAAATGTGATGGCTAGGCCATTTCTCTAGTTTATTGAAACAAACAAAGCATATAAAATGTTTTTTACACCAGCAGCCTATTTTAACTTATTATCTAGAAGCTGGTTTTTTTCTTTAACACTTGAATGCACAATTTAAAGCTATCTATCACTTTATTCCAAGTTTTCTGCACTAAGATAATAGTGCAATGTTTGTGTAATAAGTGCTCACACAACTCTATTCAGAAATTACAAAATGTGTCATTAATATCCAATATCAGAAGGAAAACTAGATGTTAATCTGGAGCTGACACCAAGTTGTAGAAGACTGAAAAAAGATCAAGACAATTATGCAACTCTGTGCTTCACTGGTTAAGACATTCCACCAACAGTTTGTACACCTAAAACAATGCATATGGAATTATATGGTTAAGGTGTAAATTGATAATATCTTATCTGACATATGTGGCTTTTTTAAACCACTTTGCAGAGCCAAAATATTTAAACCCTGCCTATAAGCACCTGCTTCACAGTATAGCTTATAAATATATCAATTTTATTTTATCATGCTGGCATTTTGTGATTATTTATATTAGTGAAATAAAGTAAAAAATAAGTTTCTGTCTAAGCCTTATTAATTCTGTTCCATCACCATGGTATTCCAAATACTTGCTAGTGCATGAAACATCCAGTTTTTTTCAGTTGAATGCATGCCTTAGCATCTTAAATATTTTACTGAATGTCATACCTCAGATGGAAACTATTATATTTTTCCCAACTCCTTACACTGTGATTAAATTATATATATTTATATCTATAAATGTAATCTGTATGGGATGTAACATTCAGGAAATGTGTCAAGAAATACAAAGGCATTTCAGTCCATGCTCTTTACAACAATAAACACTGACTGAAGAACAAGACAATGACAAAGGAGTTTTATGGCTCCTCTGCTTACTCTGAGGAGTAAAACATGGATTGTAAAATCCTTACCTCTCTGTTACACTGATGTTCTCTGTAAACAATTAGCCTTTTTTTTCCTGAAATTTGCATATTTCTTCAAATACACAAGTTCTTACATGGGTATTTATACACATCTGTAAAGAAAGACATATGGCAGGTGAAAGTGACACTGTGTGACTAACACGGGACACCCAGTGCTTGTACTAAATAAGTGTCTAACAATCCCTGGAAGATCTGAGCTATGCTTAGTAATATTTAAGCTGTAATTATTCCTCTTAGATTAAAAAACCTGACCAATGTGTGTGCCACATTTTATTTTGTAGAATAAAAAGCCTGATTAATGTGTGTGCCACAATGGTGGCAGGAACACTGTGGAACATATTTACCCAAATCTGAATAAAAAGACCAGTTGCTGAAATCTAAATTTGTGATGCCAGAAGATTCCAACTGTCAGGAAAAAAATACAAAAATATTGATCAGGTGATGCAGCATTTGATGGGAAATAATTTACACACAGTCAGTTTCATACTGGGGTGCCTGGTGCTTGTCATTATTTGTCTCCTTTTTGTTGCATAGAGCAATGGAGAAATCTTGCTAAAAACCTACGTTTTTGATTGTGTGAAAAAAACTGTATGAGAACTTATAAAAATCTGTCAGATTTCCTATCTACATTAAATGTTCTTTTTCATTGTTCACAGCATGCATATATCTAAAATCTTTGAGACAAAACCTTAAGTGGCTGTAATAGCAAAAGCCTGCATTTCAGCATTACTGCATAAACACTAAAATTTCACAACAGCAATATTCATAAAATGGTTCCTTCATGATTGAAGACATTTGTAGATTCAGCAAGCAAAATCTGTTGCTAAAACAGGTTAATATTATTTAAAAAGCTGTTGGCTTGTAGTAGCTCTGTCTCCAAGCATGCTGTGAAGCCAGAATAACTGGGTCTTACTTGGTAAGCATGGATCCCTCTGCAGAATTTTCCTACTATGGAATGTCTGACTTTATTTGTCTTTTTCTAAGGAGTCCTCTGCTGGCTTCCCTTAAATAGGGCTGACTTGCTTATTTCAATCAGTTAATTTTCTCCTTGTAATTTATTTAATATTATATTAAGAAATAATCGTGCTTGTAGCATGTTTTCATAAAGTATCGTGTTTATCTTATATCTCTTCAAGCAAATAGAAATTTTCTCCATTATACATGGCATTTTTTAAGGTAAGAGGAACTCTAAACTGTTGCAATACATATCTTTGTCAAGTCTCCTTTTTGGATTTATTTTTGTTTATCATTTTATCAGTTGTTTATCTCAATATTGGAAGTGTATTTCTGTGTTTATATACCTGACTGATATAGAATTCCCCAAGTAGCTAGGTAGGTTTAGATACATTGATTCAAATAAATCAAAGTAATGACAAATTTTCATCACTTCACAATTCTTCAAATCAAGCAGAAATGTGCTAATAATATCTGTAAACATTGCAGTTTCACAAGTGTGACATTAAAAAAACCTCTTATCTTGATTAAAAATATTTGAAAAGTCAAGGAGTAATAATAATGATGTTGTAATTGTAAAGATAAGGAAAAATATACTGATACTTTTTTTGATAAAAGAATTGTAATAAATTTGTTGCAGCCTTATTTTACACTTAGTTTCATCTTCCTCACATGGTGCTCAGACTGAATGCAGAAACATAATACTACAAGCTGACATTTTAAGAGATTTCAAGAGTGTTGTACAGCTTAAACAAATCAGATTTTTCCAAGATGCTGTAAACTAAGAAGTCAAACTGGACAAAAATGTTACTATATATGATTACAAAGAAAAATAATTCTATTACTTGGTCTGTGTTATTTATCAAATCTTCTTTTATGAGAAAAGTATGGTTTTTACTATCCTGAAACTTGAAATGAAGATTGATTTTACATAAAAGAGAACATTTGTTTTCCCAGGAGATATACAGAAAAGTCCTCATCTGAAACCCTTTATAAGTAAAAGAAATGCTCAACAAATTAAGTAACAGAAATTTTATTTTTATTTGCAACAGAAGTTGTATTTAGGCTGAAAAATACATGCTACAATCTAAAATTAGTGCTTTCCAATTAATCTTTAACCAAAATTTGGTCTAAAAATCTCTAACACTGAGTTAATTAGAATAATTATCTGTCTCAATTAAAAAATTTTTTTTACATGCAGATATCTGATAAAATATTTTTATTGCATGGATGATTTATTTAATGAAACAAATTTTTTAAGTTACTAGTCATAATTTTCTGTAAATATTTCATTAAAAATTTTTAAAAAATAATATCAGTATAAAAAATGACTGCCCTGTGGTCTTGTACTGATAACAAGATCAGGTTACAAAGTGTGAGTTTTCTATTGCAGACAAACTAATCTAAGATGAACTGAAGAGTGTAATATAAATCAAAACTTAATAAGATTTCATCTCTTTTCAGATTTGAGAAATGGGACCCAGTTTAAATTTCACCAGCTTTCAAGGCAGTTTGAGACATAGGTTTATCTTTCTTCCTGAGACAGGGAATCTAAATCTGGACTTAATTCCATAGGCTCATTTAAAAGTTTTATTGTTTGACATCTTTCTTGTGCCAAACTTTTAGCACAAATAATTAACTCAAAGTAGCTCAGCTGTACGAGCTCTGTGAGCCTTTACAGTACTTTGAAAGCCCTGCAATTGTAGACATTAATTTCCTATGCTTGTATATGAAAGGCTTTATCCAAAGCATTATCAAATGTAATGTAAAAGTTCATACTAGCTTCAGTAAAAATTGAGGAATGTTCACAAAAATGCCGACGTGAGCAAGTGTGCAATTAATGTGAGATACATGAATAGCAACATTGAAGGCAGAGGAAATTGTTCTTATTTTTGAAACAAGTATGTGCAGGAAGAACCAGCCTTTTACTGCTTTAATCTTCTCTAGAACTTTGAGGAGCAAGTAAAATGATGGCATTCTGAAATAGGGCATTGATAGGATGAAATGTGCAGATGCCCATCAGACCCCATTAAAGCCTGTGTCACACCTCACCAAATACATGGAACAACCTTCCCTTGATAGAGGCTGGGAACAACTCTCAGGGAAGCTCCACAGCCGTGAAGTTACATCAGTCTTACTGTCAGCCTTGCTCAGCTGAGCTGCTCTGACAGCACACACAGGAGTAACTCCACAAAACAGCAGCTCCTTCATTCATTCATTCACTGACAGTCCATCACTGTCTCCCACTGCTGCACAGTTGTGCCTTTATCATTTTTCCACAAAAAATGACAGGATGTACATGTACCACAAGAGATTTAGCTCAACTGCTCCTGTTGCCTTGTGCTGGGATGACCTCCTTGACAGCACATATCTGTGACAAATAGCACTCAGTGTCTTAGGGTATACTTGTGGAGCAGTAGAAAATTTTCTTGAAAAAAAATGTGCTGTAAATAATATGCACACATAGCAACATTGCAAGTGACTGTCAGGCAAAAGAGGCTTAGTAGCATCTTTTAATTTGCAAAAAATCAGACAACAAAACCAAACCAAACCAAACCCAAAACAAACAAACAAACAAACCCATAAAAGTACAAAAAAACCCCAACCAACAAAACAAAAAAAAAATTGAGAAAGGAGAAAAAACAAAACAAAACAAAACAACACCAAAAAAACCCACCCCAACTTCCAAACCCAAAAAAGTTAAAAGTGGTCTCTTCCCATTGAATTATTTCACAATGTTGGTTATTTGCCTGGAATATGGTTAAATTTATGCTACAAGATGAAGAGTAGAGGAGAAAAAAAATAAGACAGCTATAATAGTTACTGGAAACTTCTTCAGATTATTCCTTATATCTGTTGTGCAATTCTTCACATGTTCAGCATTCTTAGGTGAATATGTGTTCTCACAGGTGTCAGTACTGTCTAGCTCTAATAACAAGGTACAGGCCCATGATGTCTTCTCATATTTATGAACAAGAGAGGCTGGAGCAGACCAAGGCTCTTCTTATCAGTCAGGGAAAAAGAAAATGAAGCTCCAGAGAGCACAGTAGCTCAATAATAGATGTCACTGAGGAGACACTTGTGTCTTCTAGATCATCATCTCCTTTATAGCTGAGTGTGGCTGAATGCAAACAGAACAGAAAGTTAGCAAAATCCTGAGGGCATTTGACAAGACCGAATTTACCTTTTATGAAACTCATACACATGGGCAAGGAGCATGACTGAACCAAGTCTCAGTAATTAAGAAGAGATGGTGATAATGACATGAGAAGTAGCATTTATTCATGAAATAATAGATGCTTGTACTCTTGGAAAACAGCAATATCAATTTAAACAGGATGTTTTCCAATAAAGTCTATAGTCTTAATATGCAGTATTGTTAACTTTTCCCTGACCAACCAACTAAAACAGAAAGGCCAGGATCTGAGAAACAACTCAAGATTTTTTTATGTTTTTCTCAAGATATATAAAAAAAACATGCTCTATATAATATGCATTTATTTCCTGAATTGTTTCCTCCCAGATTTTCTCATTCAGAATGGCCAGAAATTCTCTCAGCACTGTAAAAAGCCTGCTGAGTAGTGTAGTCTCCAGTGGAATACCAAAATGAGTTGATTCGTCACTTGTAAATTTGCCAGTTTCCACCAGAAATTTCAAGAGAGTAATAAATGTTTTGCGTTTTTGATTTTGGCACCTCTAGTCTCACAAAGGGAGACAGGAAGAGAAAACAAGAACCAGAGATCAAAAAGAGTCTTCACAATTATTATTTCTTTTCCACAGGGACAAATAATACTGTCCCCACTCCCAGCACACTAATGTCATTAACATAACTACACGGTCTCTCTGGTCCTGCACAATTTCATAATCATATTTGGACAGAGTAGAAATTCACACATCACCCTAATACGAATAAAATGTAAATGAGGGCATTAATCATCAAAGATCCAGTATAGAAGACCATATGCTCGTGCAAACCCACATAAAATCACACTGGGTAGAAAGGATTTACCCATTCTGTGATTGCCAAAGGGATACAAAGATAAATGTTACTTAGAAATCACAAAAGAGCTGATGATCAGCCGAAACATATAATCATCCAAGCCCATCAGGATCAGCTCCTACCTCCTGTTCTCATCCTAACCATCTCTTTATCCCTGAGATGCAATGTGGCAGTGTGAGGGGAGGTGAGAGGGGTCCTGTGTGGGGAGAGCCAAAGCCTTTACTGTTCCAACAATGCATAGTCATAGTTTTTTTGTTTGTTGCTAAACAGTAGCACAGGTCAGCTCTTCTCTCTCCTGGAATCGTCAGAAGCAATGAACCCACTGCTAGCACTTAGCCTAAAAAATACAGCATTGCTTCCTCTCATCCCCCCTAGCACAAGCAGGCATCACTCCCAAATCTATCAAAGATATAGGCAATTGCATGGTCTTAGGAGACCTGCAGGGAAGGAATTTTCAGAGGAATTTCTGGCTTCTGAAAGAAGAATTGTTAGCATTAATTTTCCCCATAGCCAAGGATGTGACTATACAGTGCCCTTAATGCTTCATTTGTTCTGTACCTTTGGCAGTTTGCTGCAGCAGTGTTCAGAGTGATGCATAATGCTGCCAGAAGGAACCAAATTTTCCATAGAAATGATGAATCTTTAGCACAGGAAGCTTAAGATTTTGAAATGCAATTTAATATTAGCTACTGATTTCTGCTGACCTCTTTGTGCTCCCTTGGGAAAGAAATAAAGCTTCTTTCTTGGGAAAGAAATAAAGCTCAAAGAAATACTTCTTGTACTACAGGGAAAAGCAGTCCCCTGAGACAGGGAGCTAGCTTTGACTCTCAGTGCTCCTGGTTCTTTTTCTCTTTAGGCCAATGACTAAAGAAATTAATCCTCTGTCACTTTCAGAGTCACATATTTGACATCAATTGAAGTTTGCAGTCATAGGTGAAAAAATAAAAGAACAAACTACAAAAGTAAGAGGGCAGAGAGCTCTGAGGCAATTTATTCTCTCAAACGAACAAAATGACACAGAATATTTTTAAGGCAATTACAAAGAGCATATTGATTTTTAGTTTTACAAAGGAGGAATAAGCAAGGTTCCTGAAGTTTCATTTTTGTGTATGTGTTTAAATCTACATAAAAGCATTTTACTTGTTTGGATCCTGAAGAATGGAGCTGTTTTTCCTCTATCTGTGTCTGGCTATTTCTCACCTTTTGCCTCCCACCTTTCTTCTGCTAGCTTTTCACTGCAAGTTGACCCAAAGAACATCAGCTTCAACAGAAGAAATTGCTGGTACAGCTGCATGAAATTTAGACAGTGACCAGATGTCATCCCCACCGCTCAGTCTTTGCAGTTAGCCCTGGTAATGTCTTTTGTTTCACTTTATTAAGGGAGATAAGGTTGTAAAAGCTTCTTAGGTAAAGGGTAAATAATGTATCTGGCTTGAAATGGATAGCAGAAGTAGAGCAACAAAAAGAGCTGTTTTGTTCTTTTCTTCTCATGAACTTGTGGAGGAAAAATAAAGGTGTTGTCAAAAATAATGATGAAGCAGTTATGTGTTTCTACAGACAATATAAACCAGTATTTCTGAAAAGGACATAATGCAGGTTTTTAAAATTATATGTAATATTGATACATATAAAAATACATACAGTTATTTATATGCAATGCCAAAATAGATATTTGATAATAAAATTGCATTACACTGGATTCCTTCTCTTCCAATTTAGAATCTAATTTAATTTATATCACATTACAAAGAGGTGCCAGATGCTCCAGCTTCCAGTTGTGGTTGGGCAAATGATAGACTACCATTATCTTTCTACAGATAGAAAGATTTTTTTATTTATTTTAATCAATACTTTCCAATTATGTTTATATCTAAGTGCTGATTCATATCCTTCCTAAATAAGTATTTTTGTTGACTTCACTAACTAAGCAAGTCTCACAGTAACAATGTGCCCACAGAGTACATGGGATTTAGAGTGGAGATTGTTAGACAGGCCTGCCTTTCTGCTTGACACTCCCACAACATTCTAATTAGGTTAAGCAAGTAGATATATAAATCTTAAACTGAAAAATTACAGGATAATTAGCAGAGCTCAAAATATAATGAGAATGAAACCCTCTTCATCTACATTATGTGCTGCCCTAAGACAGTACAGGAATTAGTTGCTGCCCAAATCCTCTTTTGACAAATAAGTCGAAAGAGAATGTAGGACAATGCCTAACAAAGACAGGACTGTTGAGACACTGAGTTATGATGTGAGGACCCACAGACATGAAGGCAGATTTTATCAGTTGGAGGCCAGTTGAAGTCAAATGCCTCAGAAGAATAGTGTTGAGATTAAGGAGCAGGTTACAAAACTGCAGTGCAAAGGGCTTGGTAGTCAATAATTGAACAGTGTGAAACAAAGACCAAGGGAATAGCACAAGATAAAGAGCTAGTTTTACATATGCTGGTAAATAAGGAGATGTTATTTAAGGATTGCATCTACTACCAAAAGAGAAATCTGGCTCCTCCTCTGCAATGTTAATAACATCCTACTGCTCCACTGGTACTAACTAATGCTGCAAGGGATCCTAGCCAGGCAGTATTGATATCATTCTATTTTACTATGCCAGAATCTGTATTCATTGAAACAGGGCTATCTATTAATAATTTCTATGCCTGTGCTTCTGTACGTTTTATAATTCCCTGACATGAAGTAGCATATGGTGGATAATATTTTCCAATTACTTTAGTTAAACATTGTAAAACAAATGTAAGAGATGATGCTTCCTGCTGCTGGACAAAACACATCCCCAGCCTGGGAATAAATCCTAGGACAGATGTTCTATTATAATTGATTAAAAAATTCTGAGGTTTAAGATAAACTGTTCTGTGTCCTCTGACAACAGGTTGTTATTTGCCTCTGGTCTCAAAACTGCATCCAAATATAGAGATATTTTCATACCCTCTCTAGGGGTAGCTGTCTCCTGACATCTGTTAGTTGTTGCACCATTGGTTAAGTATGAAATTTTGTTCTGCATCACAAATGTTCTACGTCTGCTAAGAACTAAGTTGCGCTAACCTGCATCATTATTTCAGAACCTCTAAACAATATTTCTGCACTTATTACGAGCTGGTGTCACCAACACACAGGCTCTTTATTGAATTACACCTGTACTTAAAATATTTTTCTCCTTCCTATTGCCCCACATATCTTTGCTTTTGTTTTCCAAGCCATACAATTAAGACAAGGAGAAGATCATTCACATTTTGCAAGCCATGCAATCAAATATGATTTGTTTGCATCATTCACCTTCTAGCCTTTTTTTTTTTTCCCTAGCTGACAGCATCTTCCTGACAGCGTTATTCTGAGGAACATTGTAACATTGTCAAGTGCAGTAAATCAGGTCTAAAAGGCCAGAAAAAATGTATTAAATAAAACAGAGAACTGAACGACACAGAAAATTGCCGAAAAGTTTTTTTTTTTCCTTCTTCCTTTTTTTTTTCCTGAAAATTCTGGACATCAGAAAAAGTAAGTCCCAGAATTTTAAAATTATTTGTTATATGGGAGTTTGACAGTTCCAAACTGCATGCCAAGAAGTTGGTCACTATCAAAACTGAACTTTAATCCTTGTTTTTGAGTCAGTTTTAAATATGGTCTTCATCACTTTTAGTGTGATATGCCCACGCACTGTTCTGTATGACACATGTTGTGGTATTATTCTTGTGTGCAGGGTCTGAAGCAGAACTTGTATTGCAGCAGCAACTTCACATGTTGAAAATTTCCAGTACAGAAATGGAGCTGTACAAGCTGGGGAGAAAGTAGATACTTAATAGAGGAGAAGATATGAAGATACAACAGAGTCCCTTGAACCACCTGACCATGTGGCCCTCACGTGGTTTGTGGTGTGGCATTTTGCAGCTCTGGCATCCCTTTAAATTAGAGGACTGTTTAGGAAGGTTCATGAGGTTTAGGAAGTCCACTTCGAAATCTACTTAATGGACACTTTCAGTCAAAATATCAAATGTGAATGAGATATGACTACAGACATGTAATGTGAATAAAGGCATTGAGGCGAGAATAAAAAAAAATAGAGAGAAGATAAAAAAAATAGGTCTATGCAATAAAATTTATGTGAATGTTATATTTCTGTACCCAAGTCTGTATTCCATAAAATTTTTGTAATGTGAATTCCTAAACTTGAATGTATGTGAACTCTCAAAGTACCTCGCTGAGTATGTTGAAAGGCCACTTTTCATCTGTAGTTTTACATCTAGCTGCACTCAAAGTCACCTCACTCTGTAGCAGGGCAGCAAACAGAGACTGAGAAATTAAGCAGTGTGACATCTTTGCCTTCTGAAGACTCTGTATTGAGTAAGTACTAGCATTCACTGCAGCACAGGAACTTCAGTGTCATCCACTTTTACCAGAACAATTTCTTCTATGAGAAGCAGAGCTAGTGGTGCCTGACAGCCTGTACATGCACAGGAGATGTCCCCTGTGTACTCTGTATTCCTAATGCTGTAATTCTAATAACAAAATCCTTCCTATAATTTTTGCTAATAATTTACTTGTCTCCTCCTTATATGCTGCTTACCTTCTTTGGTTTGCTGCCTGATGTTATTAGGCATATACCACAGCTGCTTTGGAATCACAAGATCCTTACTGATGGGTCAGATTCTGCCAACCTCATTAGCAATTCTTTAAGCAAAGAAACTGGCAGAGGTGATTTGTAGTAGTCAGCATGGATATACAAAAGTGAAATAATGCTTAACCAAACTGATAGCTACCTAAGTTGATGTTTAGGTTGATTGGTCTCCACTGGATTAAGGCTTTTTGACAGTTTCCCACAACATCATGCAGAGAATCTGTTCAAATGCAGGTGAAGGAAGTGAGCAGTGAGGTGGACTCAGCTGTTGAACTTGAAGGGTTGTGATCAACAGCATCAAATTCAGCTGGAATCTGGGCACTAGAGGTGCACCTGAGGGGTCAACAGTGGAGCCAGTACTATTTAAGACCTTCTTTAATAACTTGATTACGAACGTCAGCAGTTTTGCAAGTGATACAAAACTCTGAGAATGTAAATAACACACAGGAGGGTTTTGCTGCCCTTGAGAGGGACCTTGCCAAGCTGGAGGATTTGATGAATAGGAATCTCATGAAATAATAAAAAGAAATAACCCCAGGCACTAGGGCAAGCTAGAGGCCAACCTGTGGGAGAAGATTGTCAGAAAAGGAGGATTGTGATAGTCAAAATGGTGACCAAGGGCCAGCAGTGTGACCTCATGGCAAAGGTGGTCAACAGCAGCTTCAGCTGCCTGAGGAAGATTATCATGAGCAACTCAAGAGAGGTTACAGCTGTGGCACTCAGCCAGGGGTGGTGTTTAAGTCCCTCTTTAGAAATGGCCTGCAGGCTGAGGCTACATCTATCCTAGTGAGCTGAGAAGAGCTGGGACCCATTCCCTAGGCCAGCTGGCACAGCCAGGCCACAGCCATGTCACTAAATTCTTTTAACTTCCTGAAAAAGATATGCTGAATGCGGGATTTCTATTAAGAATGGTTCCTTGCCAATCTTAGCCCCTAATCTTCTCAGAAACCATTTGGGATGCTGTGATTTGCCCACAGACAATGATGTGACAGGGATTGTTGTAATAATTAAACAGTCCAGATGGTGGGCACTCTTTACTCTATGGGTACTGCAGTGGAACAGATGTAGTCTCAAATAAATTATTTTATGTAATTTCAAGACCAAAGCCTAAACCAATCACAAGAATCTCCCTTAACCTAAAAGGGACAGTGGTAGAAAAATCTCATTTTAGGTTATCCTGTTCTCACCACTGACTGTGGTGCAATTTAGGGTGATTTAGAGTGATTATCTGAGATCAGAAAACTGGTTGTGGTCTGTTAATCAGGGAAAAGTCACATGCTTGGGGGCAGATTGTCACAGAATATTAAGGTGTCAGAGATGTGATTGATGATTTGTGAGAGCTTAAGAACAGACAGATCCCTTACATCTACCCAGTCCCCTATAATCATTGCTTAGGAACAGCTTCTAGAGAATTATATCTTGGACTGAGCCTGAATCAGAAGTAAAAACATATCATGGATCACAATTAATCAGTGTTTCATTCAGAAACTACACAGCTAGAAAATGATGTTACTTCAATCAAATTTGATTAATTGCAGGCACAGAAAATAAGTTATGTGAATGAGTCTGTTGTATAAGCAGTGATAGAAAATGTTATTTGTGTTGGTCTGCCTCAAATTCCATGAATGAATAAGGATTGTCTGGAAATGTAGGGGGGATTAAAACTGACAGGGGATTCATTTCAGTTTTCTTGATAAAAAGCCCAAACAAAACCAATAACAAATTCATCTTCATATGTCACATGCTCATTTTATTAAGCAGAAAGGATGATCCCTGAATATCTTAAAAGGTCATATTTACAAACAACTTCCTGTAAAGGCCATTTGTCCACAGGTGCAGAGAACTGATCCTGTTTTGCTGGGAAACAGGTTTAGAATGTTTCTAGGGGCCCCATGGCAAGGAAATAAATGTGATGATGGAAGAAATTGTATAAATAGAAATAATTCATTATTGGTTTCAACTCTCAAGGAACAGCATTGTGATTTCCAGTAGTGGATCCAGATTCTCCATTCAAGAGTTATCTGAGAAAATGACAGAACCATTACTGATAACTAAACTCACTCCTAGGTATGAAAGGTTTGTCATATGCACATAATTTAATTTAAAAAGTTATTGCTATTTGGGGTTATAGTACTGACAGTTCTACTTTTTTATCAGTATATCATGTTTGAAAAAAATTGACTAATTAGTAATGACTTTTGCAGCTTTTCAGGAAGAGAATTTGAAGTAAATTCTTGTCTAGAGTAATTAATTGAAATTTGGAGTGATACCATATGCAAATGGGATTTTTTCCTATTAATTAGAGTCCTTAATTACTTTGATCAGAGAATTTATTATACCACTTCTGGAAAGCCACGCAAATAGGGAAAAAAATCCCCAGATTTGAACAGGCCAGTTATTCTAGTATCAAAAGGATTTTTTTTTTCCTTGTTCATCCGTATAGCATTGAATAAAAGCTTTATTGGATCCAGTTCTAAACTCCTGTGGAAGTAGGTTTCATGCCTGAACCATACTGAATCTGGAATACATTTTTTAAATGTATTTTAATGTGGTTTTGTTATTTCCCATAGCAAGAACAGAACATCAAAGCACCTTAGAACTTATGGGCACCAGTGGAGACAGCAGTCCTGTGAGGGAGACAGAATATTAAGGTTTTGTGATTCTGTCAGACAAAGTTTTCTTGTGAAACTTCATACTAGCTACTTAATATTTCTTCATTTGGCCTCCTATGTAGAAGAATAAGAGCTTTCTCTCTCCCCTTCATCTGAGTTGCCCTGTGAGAATAAAGCAACAAGCAAAGCACACTTTGCACAGGGGTTTATGCAGTGGCTCAGAGCAGTCTTGTATGGAGCAAAAGAACAGGATGGAGAGGTCTCTACAACATTGCAGACAAATGGCAAACAGAGCAGGAAGCTAAACAGACAACTATTTCATTAATGTGCTAATGATATCTTAATGAGGGCTTAGATTGCCTTAATTTTTATACGTACAGTTGTGCATCCCTTGTAAAATCTTAGCATGGATTAGGTATATGTGCACACATCCAAAAGCTGTACTTAAATCCATCTGTAGATGTGTCTGTGTAGTTAATATTCTTTATTAGAATGGGAGGGAAAAAAGAGATCTGTGTTCCAGGATATTAGGAAAAATAAAAGGAAAAACCCCATAATTCTGCTGTTTTGTATAGTCCTTCACAATACTGAAAACAGTACCATGTTTTTATTTCAAACAAGTTCTTATTCTCTTCAGTTGCTATTATAAAACTTGTGTTATCCATGTCATCCAAAACTATTTTTTTAAAAAACCTATGGCTTCTGTTAATCCATCTTGCAAAGGTCTGTAGCCCTTGTCTGCATTTTAATGAGAGATCTATGGACACTTGAAAATTTGCTGAATACAGTCAGCAGTAGTGAAAAGGCTTTAATGTAGTACTCTACAGCAGCACAGGTATCTAAATGCTATGGAATTTAATGTTTACAGGGACTATGGCATTAGACCAGATGCACACCTGTTGTTTGTCTGTTGTGATCACATCAGTCAAGTTTCCCTTTCCTTTTCTTCTGAGACAGCCCAAAGGTTTACTTATCTTTGCTAAAGCATATTTTTCTTAATTTGCATGTCAAGGGGCAAATAGATGGTTATGGTGTGAAGGAGAAAATGTAAAGTGCATTTTAGTTTTGCAAGAAATTATATAGCAAGCACAAATGCTAATTCCCTGTATACCAAATATCAGTATAATGGCTTAAAAGTTTGGAAATTTTTTCCTTCACATACAATGTGTTTAATTATACATGATCAGCCAGAACAAAACAGCTGTCTCTGCCAAGCACCAGCTGTGTACCATTATCTTGAATTTCACCAACCATCCTTTGGTCATTAATTCTGAAGTGTTCTGGTTGTGCTTTTGAACTATCAGATAGAAAATTTTGGTCTAGGCTATGGTGAAAAACCGGATCCTATTTAGTCAGCAGAGGACTTGTAGCTAGGGTTTGAGACTTTAAACTTTGACTTTCTTTGTTTTTATTGCCCATTAGCTGGAAGGGATGCTGAGATAGGTACAGAAGCAGATCTTACACTAAAAAAAGAAAAAATTTTCTATTTCAGTCAGTGGCTCCCAATCTTTTCTAGCATTCTGGCAACATTACCTGAGGAGAAATATCCTGTCAGCAACATCTGACCTTGCTCTGCATAAATATATCTCAGCTTTACCAGCAACAGCTTTTGTTGGCCTCTGGTGCTGGAGGATCATGCAGAGAACATATTGCCAATAAACTATATTTAGAACCATTGATAAATGTAAATTTGTTTTGGGCTCATCTAGCACTCTGCCTTTTACAAACATGAGTGCTAAATTCCTGTTTTGTTATACACTAGTCAAAAAAGCTCCAGGGTAATCACATTCATTTCAAAAATAAAGTCAATGGGGAGAAAAATTCAAACACTCTTTTTATATAGCCTGGGAGAGCAAAAGGTGAAGCGTTCAAAGTAAAACTCAAATAGCTGTAATTAAAATCAAGTGTTAATTCCTTCTTGCTTTGTAGTCTGCCTCCTTCAAATATTTTATAATACATGCATGTTTTCCCAGAGATTTTGTTTAGTTTGAATTCAGAGCAATATGTATTTTTTGCACTGACTTTGGATGCAAAAATGTACCGCAATATGTTTTTTCCCCTATCATTTTTCTGTTTGCATCTTCAATGCAAGTATTATCTCTGAACAGTGCTTAGATGCCTTCAGCTATGCTTAAGTGGGTTGTACCTGGCCACATGTGTAAGTATTTTCCTAAAAGGGGAAATATGTTGAATGAAATATGTTGAATATAATAAACTACACACTTGCTGTAGAATTAACAGGGAGTATTGACAATACCTTAAATATAGTCATTGATTCCCTTCCAAAAAAAACCCCAGCTTACATATCCTGAATTTTTCTGCAAAGGACCAGATTTAAAGCAGAACATTTTTGTTATTTTTATTCATTGCAGACAAACCTAATATTGTACATGGTAGACTGTAGCTACAGAGGAGTTTAAATGAGGCCAAATCTCATTTCATGTTTACAGTTCAGCTGGGCAATCAAGCTAAGGCCTCTCTGTGCTTTGGAAAATGTCATGGGACATGGGCTTAAAGTAGCCAAGATCTGAATTGTGGAGGTCTTCCAAAGTATTTGCTGTCCTTCTGCTGCAGTAGCTGCAGCTTCTGGGATGAAAGCACATTTCACTTAACACTGGTAATTGCCACTGTCTCAGTGGAAATGGCAGCATCCATCCAAGGAATAGGAAACAGTGGAGAAACCCCAACACTGCTCACACTCACAGCAGTCAGAGTCAAAGGAAGATAAAAAGGGGCTAAGCAAAACCCCTGGGTGTATGTCAAATTATTTGATCAATACATTTTCAGTTTTTATTGAATATCCATCAGCCATGTGGCTAATAAAAATATCTGTGATACCCAGTGCATTCAAGCAGTTAATTTAATTATTGGATCATTCAATTAGCTGTCAGAAGGGCCAGTATTATATAACAGCCTCTTATTCTAGTTAGAATTGTGTAATTAATAGTTTATATATATATTTATAGTCTTTACCTATGTATATAAAAATAATTTCATGTGTTTATACAGAAATATATTAAAAGTTTAGGTGCTCATTTTTATCTTAATTAAAGTGTAAGTATTACAAATCAGTGTGCACCCTGTATTCAAATTTGGATGTGCAAAACAATCTAACTGAATCAAAAATCTTTGCCTCTCTTTCATTTAATGACTGTCAGCAGTTTCATTTCATCAGCAGACTGTGAATATTGTTTATCAGATTTAAAGCCTTAGAAAACTATATCTACATCTTAAAAGGATTATAAAGATAAGAAAAGTTAGTCTTCCAGGATTAAAATTTCAAGATGAGACCTTCATTTGCCCTTTCTTTCATAGGTTTTTTTTTAAATTTTGTAGTTTTTCATATTCAGTAAATTGATTTTTTCTGATGATAGCACATGAATATCAACATGTCAGCATCAGAAGGTATTGCCTAAAATAGGAGATCAAATGATCCTCTTGATTTTGATATAAATGGTAATAAAGAACAGAGTTCTTTATGAGAAAATAGGAACTTAATTTAGATATTTCTGCCTCCCTGCTCAAGGGCAAGGGCAAACCTGAAGGATTTCTGGTTTAGTTTTTTTTTAACTAAAAATGTATGCAGTCACTTGAATTTTTTTGGCCATCAGCATATGTAATCTGTAAAACAAATATCCAGATGCATCTCCAGGCTCCTCATGGTTTCTGCTGTTTTTCCTCTAGGTATATGGGGACAGAGACAAGTGTTACACCTAAGGGAATGCTCCCTCCTCCAAGCCTCTTGTCAGACACATCTTTCTGTGGAAAATCAAGTGGAACATTGTCACTAGGAAGCACAGGCTGAACCAGGACAATTGAATTATCTTTGGCAAAACATGCAAAGATGCCCTAGAATGTAACTGCTATTGTTGATGCTTTTGACACTTCAGTTTTCTACAAGGAGGAAAAGTTCTTTTTTTAAACAAGTAGATGAATGTATGTGCATGTAGATGTTGGAAGTCATATTCTTGTTAGAAGAAAATTTAGCTGGTTAAAGCAGAAAGAGTGAGTGATTTAGAAAGTTTGGGTCTTTTTCTAGAAATGGTTTTAGTTGTGGTCACTTGCAAGGTTGTGTTGCACCTCTAACACAGTGTTAAGAAGCAGTAAGTAAATAAATAAATGGAATCACAGAATGAATCAGGTGGGAAGAGGCCTCTAGAAACAGTCTAGCCCAACTGCCCAGTACAGGATTCAAGTATTCAATACTCTAACTAGTAAAATGTATCTAGAATAGGTAAGTTTGAATAAATGAATACACAAAGTAGAACATCCACTTTGCCAGGCTGCGTTAAGTGAGGCAACAATTAAAAAGTAACACGTGGATTTTGTCTGTTGCAGCTGTTGTACCTGTTTAAATAAAGGCATCTTATATCTCACACTCAGCTCTGAAAGCCTGAAACTTCCATGACAAATTGTTCACTCTCTGATCAGAGAAGTAAGTAAAAATGTAAACTGTTTATGTAATCCTTTTCTTTCTGATTCTATCTTCATAATATGCATTTTGCAGTTATTCATCGTCGATATCCTACATTCTTGTCAGTCCTTTTACTGCCAGATCTGAAATTGCACTTCCAATCCTATGACTTGCCTGATCAGTTATAGCTGTGTAAAATAAAATAATATGATCATTTGAGTTGGCTTAAACATAACAAAGTAATTCTTATTTTAGGACATTGATCATAGCCCCTGTTGTTTCTGCCATCTTTTTATTGAAAATGAATGCTAGACCTTCTGTGTGTTGGTATCTTTTCTGAGATTATAAATTGTACTCTTCCCAACCTGATAACAACCACAAGAGGGTTATTATATTTATGTCAAATTAACTATTCAATTTATTTAGTCACAGTCACCTCTTTGATTTTAATACAAATGTTGAAACACTACACATTTTCAAAATAAAAAAATCTTTACTGAAAGGTGACTGCCTTCTCCTTTTTTTCTCTCTAATTCCACTTACATTAAACAATTTTTATTTTAGTCTTTTCCTTCTTAACCTTCCAACATTTCTTTCTTTTGCTCTTTCTTTTCTCTTCCCCTGTTCCAATGGGGCTGAAGAGGGAGGAAGTGATCAAGCAGCTCAGCTGATCACCAGGGTTAACCCTAACAAATATTTATAATTGTCACACAGAAATAAATATAATCTCAAACCATCAGTACTATCAATAAAAAGATCACTAACTATACCAATCACTTGGAAAAACACATGGTTCCAAATATCTGCAGACATTATATTAATTTTCACTAACTGGAGGTCAGATCTCTCTATAATACTCTTATTCATTTATTCAATCTCATACTGATCTTTCAAGAATGTTGAGTAAGATGAACTGTATGTCTGTGATGTTTGCAATAGCAACACTCTGAAAGCTAACAGAAATCTTATTAAAGATGCAGTAAGATGTTTTTGCATATTTTCTGAATGCAATGCAGAACAATTAATTTATGTTTTATATCTATATATGTGAAAATTATGTTTTCTTGAAAAATCTCTTGCTGTTCAAGAAAAAAATAGTTTCAGTGAGATTCTTATATCTTGAATGTATTTGGCATACTTCCTATTTGGTTTTTCTTATCTAGTGCTTTGAAAAATAGGTGTTTGATTAAATTGGTTCCGCTTAATAAAATCTGAGATCATATGCAGAAAACCAAGAAAATAAGAAATATCTGTTTATTTTTAGAAAAAAAGTGGTGAAAAACAAGATAATGAATCAATTACCTGTGAAAATTTCAAACTATGGATCTTCTAGCTGTGCATAGGTCTTGCCAGAACTGGACATACTCTTTACAGCTGTCTGGACAGAGTTGTGATTATGGCTCTGTTGTTCCTCATTTAGAGCAGAGCATTGAACAAACCTTGCAGTCACTGGGCCAGTGAGAAAAAGCAAAACATTGTGGATGGAGGTCAAAAGAAAGAGCAATATTTCAGACCCAACTGCATATTTGCCAAAGTTGTATCATTTTGCACTCCATTTAATTCCAAGTTTGTGTTGGGAACGCCTATCTGCCCCCCTGAGGAAACTTGTCTGTTGTGGGTAATAGTTTCCACACACTGCTTGCATATCAACAGGAAAGTAAAGATGCTTACCTTTTTTTTTCCTCCAAGGCCTCTAAGAATTGGATAAAGCATTGAATTTGGTGAGATTTGGCATTAATTATGCTAGTTCAAGGCTTGAGTCGATTAGTCAACCTGCTAAAATGTTTCCTTTTGAGTCAATGAAGGGAAAAAATAAATAAAATACTGCACAAGAAGATTCCTCCCATCCTGAGAAACGTCTGTCCCACAAGATGAACAGCCCTCCAGCAGAGCCTCATTACCTTCACTGGCAAGGGAAAGATCTATCATGCCTCGCTTTAACAGGATGCTAACATTTAGTCACTTATCTTTCAGTGAGAGAAAGACCATAGGAGTTTCTGCCTCTCCTAGGCAGCTGACTGGTTGATTAAGTACCTAATTATGTTTGAAGTTCTGCTCCTTGGGTCTTGGAGTTTCTACAGGTAAAACATTTCTGGAAAAAATTATTTTCCAGCACTGCATCAAGGAAATACTGTTTTCTATCAATTTTTAAACTTATTATCATGCATGAATAATTAACTTAAGGCTGCTTTTCTTCCCAAAGAACTATGAATTGGCATTGTTGACTTAAAAAGTAAACAAAATATATGCACCTTATATATATGGACATACACTATCAACAGAGTATTTTGCCATCAATTCTAAAGGAACTCTTCAAGCTCTGCCTTATGGCAGATATGGAGGCTTTTTTGGCTGGATCTAGATATTCTGTAGAGAATCAAGATCTGATATAAGATGTTCTGCATTCTTTTCAGAGCATGAGGCAAAATAAAGGGAGACTGTTGATATTTACCTGGCTTCATATTCAGCTTTATAATTATGACATTATAAGAGTGAGATAATTTTTACTACCTTAATGTTTTGTATATATTGATAAAATAAATTTTCTGTGATGATATTTTATGAGAAGAGACAAGCAAACTTGATATTTTCCTAAAATTACTTGTAATTCAGCATGTATCAGAACTGCAGGGCGATAATTCTCCCAAACATGGAAGAAGATCCTCCTTTTCTGGCAATAGTGTATAATTAGAAGTGCCCATGTTCCAAATAAAGAACTTTTGCCATCATCTTGTTCCTGTCAAACACCAATTGACAAATGTGAGTGAACAGAGTAGAGCAGAATAGATAAGTCTAGACTATTTTGTACATGGCCTACAGCAATCATCCAGTCCAATTAGGACCTCTCCAAGGCTGACCAAAAGTTAAAGCATGTCCTTAAGGACTTAAACACTGACAGGTCTGGAGCTCTGATGATCTTTCTAGGAAGGCTGTTCCAGTGTTTGCACCCCCTCTTAGGAAAGAAGTGTTTCTTCATTAGGAAGAATTTAATCTAAGCCTACCCTGGTGCAGTACTGAGCCATTCCCACTCATCCTGTCACTGGGAACTAGTGACAAGAGCTTAGCACTGCCCTGTCCATCTCCCCTTCCCAAGGAGCTGCACAGACCTGGAAGGAAGCTGCACACAATGAGGCTGCCCTTTGGTTTCCTTTTCTCCAGACTGGACAAGCCCAGAGCCCTCAGCTGCTCCTCACAGGACATTCCTTCCAGCCCCTCCTCAGCTTTGTTGCCCTCCTCTGGTGATGCTCAAGGACTTTCATGTTTTACCTAAGTTATGAGGGCCAGAACTGCACAGAGTATTCAAGAAAAGGTCACACAAATACTGAATGTAGGTGAAAAATCACCTCTTTTTTTTTTTTTACTGGCTGCTTATGCTGTGTTTGATGCACCTCAGAATGCAGTTGCAGACCTCCCCAGACACCCAAGGCCCTGGGCAGATGATTGAGAGAGGTTGTGCAGTAACCTCTGTTCACTGCTTCAGTACTCTGGGGTGAATTCCATCAGGCCCTGAACTGATGCAGCTGTTCCCTTACAATTTCAGCATCCACGAATGAAAAATCACTGTTCCTGTAGTTGTGGTCCTTGGAGGACTGAGCAGCCCAAGTTTATCAGTATTATTAAAGACTGAGGTAGAAAAGACCCTACAAAATGCCTCAGGAAGCTTGAAAGTCTACCTTAGATTTACCACATAATCTAGATCAACCACAAGGGGCAGCAGGGAAGTTAAAGAAAAAAAAAAAAGACTCGGCTTCCCCTTTTTATTCACCATGCAGATGTGTGCTACAGTTTTTTAGCATGAATTACTAATTTAGAAGGCATTTATTTGTCCACTGGTTCTAAGAAGGTACTTATAAACTAAATCTAAAAGCATGAACATTTGTCTTTAATGTTGAACTCTATGCCTCATCAGGAAACGAATGACTGTCTTGCAAGGTGTTCACAAAAGATAAAAATCCTTGAAAAGAATTACATCTAGGAGGTAGAATTAGTACATACTTTTCCAATTAAATGTAGAATTTTATATTGAAACTTTTTCATAGTAATAACTGCAAAGGAGTCAATGCTCTAGCATTTACATTCATGCCAAATTCTAATAGTGATTATGGATTACCTAGGCATTACCCTTGCATTACCTCCTCTAACATATGTTGCTTTGTTAATACAGAAAAAATAATTGCTAGTCTTAAACATTTTGCAAAATACATAATCTTCAAATGATAATACTGCTTGCCTAATACTAGTGTTTCCTGTTCTGCCTGAAAAGCTACATTTTTAGTAGTTTTCTTCACTCAGAAGGCAACTTGTTTTCATTTAATTTATTTCCACTAATCTGTTGCTGGTAGGGATTAATTTTTGATCGATTGTTTTCTCACACTGACATGCAAGTTATCATCGGAAAAATTCTACAGCAAGTAAAAGACATTTAAAGTAACCCTTTGTAATTAAAAGTGAGCTGTTTATGAGTTATACTAAGTTTGGGAAGTTTTGTGGCTGTAATGGAGAACGTAGAGAGAAATTTATCTCAATTCATGTGTTTGGAAGTTATAGTAGTTTTTGTTGGTGGAAGATGTGAATTCTGCTGTATTGGAACCAGCATAGCCATGGATGATTGATTTTTTTTTTTCATTCAACTACTACCATGCAAGTCCTGCTCTAAGTGCAGGTATTCAAGTATTTGGAGAATACCTGCACAGTTCTGTAACACAGTTACAGAATAGTTGTCTAAAACTTAAAGGGAATTTGAAAAGAAAAAAACCAGGAAATTTATCTTTTGAATAATTTACTGTCTTTTTATGTAGAAATTTTCAACATAAATATATTGTGACAGTATAAGGCATTTCTAGGGGACATATCAGGTGGGCAGGAGGAGGGGGAAGTCACTTTTGTAGTTAAGAATTCTGTTTAGAGATCCTTATATTCTTTGAACAATCACCAATTGGTATTTTTGAGTTTTACCCTTTGGCTGCCATCTCCCTTTGCTGCCAGGGAAGTCCAGGCTCTGAATGAGCAGGACTGCTGTCCTGCACTGAAAGATTGTCAGATACCCCAGGTGGCTATTCCCAAAATTAGTTTTTGGAATGTAGATTTAGTGACCTGGGAAAGTGAGCTACAAATTTAATGATTATCAGATTAAATGTATGGAAGTTGCAGCTAATCCTTTCACAGCCCAGATGCTGGATTTTTTCTCCTAAGAGAAAGAAGAATTAATATTCTTAGACCTAATTTTCCCCTAGTTTTATGCAGGTTCACAGTGTGTATTAGAGGAAATACACCTTTTCCTTTCTCACAGCTTATGCCAGTGGTATAAAATAGGATTTCAGAAAAAAAGAGCTATTGCAACCTGATATGTACACTAAGGGCTGTGAAACATTATCAGGTTTGATTTTTTGGGGGGAGGTTTCATTTTGTTTTCATATTCCTGTAGGGCTGACACTGCAAAAAGATGTGGATGAGCAGAGAATCATATCAGTGCTTCATCTGT